CGGGCCAGTGTCTATGTCCCATTCGGGTGTGTGCTGGATGGCGGGGAGGCTTAGTGTGGCTGTAGGCAAGTTAAACTGCTCCTCAAAGGGTTCTTTCCAGCGTTCAAGGCGTCTATCCTAAAAGCTAATTAAGGAGCCATTTTTCTCACAAACAGTCTCACTTATGATTTGCCTTCTCCCATCCGTTTGCCTGATGAGTCTAAAGAGTTGCCTAATGTTGCCTATCGCCGATGCTTTTTTCATCTCTTTCGCCTTTATCAACCACCACTGTTCACGGTCCTTGCGGAGACTTTTCGTAAGTTTCCTTTTGTGCAGCTTTCGCTCCTCATTGAATTCGGAGCTCGCCGGAATAAGTCTTCTAGCATCTATCAATTCCGTCAACGCGCTCTACCACTTCACTCCCTATTTCTAAACTAGGAGCCAATGAAGTTCAGTCCAGTAGCACCATCTTACGTTTGGTGGGAACGAATCGCATGCCAAGCTTTCGTAGATTGCAGCTCAAGGTGTTCAGAAGACTCTGCATTTTGTCTGCGTCTTCACCTCATCTAGGAGGACTATATTATCTGCATATTCTAATTCGACGAGATTACCCGCTGGTAACAAGTCCATCCCTGAGTCGCTGCATTGAATTAATGAAGTCCTTTACTACATCTGTGATGAAATTAAATAGAAATGGCGACAGTGGTCATCCCGGCTAGACACCACTAGTTGTCACCAATTCAACTGACAACTCGCTGTAAGCGGTCACCTGGCTGACTCGATCAGTTCGAGTAGAGTGCCTTGATCAGTGCAATGTATTTTCTCGGCATTCCATTTACGGCCAAGCATCGCCGAGTACCTCTCGGTCGACAGAATTAAATGTCGCTTATAAGTCAGGAAACATAACGATTGTTGGACGCCGGTAAGTATGCCTATGTTCCAGAATCTGTCGGAGGGTGAAGATATGATCAATACACCCTCTTCCTGGTCTAAAGCCTGCCTGATTCTCTCGTGTTTTTGCCTCCCGAGCATCACTTAGTCTACGCAATATTATTGAACCTAGGACTTTAGATACCATATTGGTCAAACTAATCCCCTTGTGATTATCAGAGGAAGACTAGTCTCCCTTCTTGTATATGGGCATAATCAATGACTTACACCAACCTGACGGGACTTCCTCTGATTCATAGACGATGCCTAGTACCTCAGTCAATGCAGACAGTAAACTGTCCTCACCGTACTTAAGTACCTCTGGAGTCATTCCATCAGGTCCTGCTGCCTTGCCTCGTTTCAGACCAGTTACAGCATTGGTAACCTCAGTTAGGGACAGAGGACCTGTGTCTATATCCCATTCAGGGAGTTGTTGGATGCTCGGTAAGTTGAGTGTGGCTTTAGGCCAATTGAACTGTTCCTCAAAGTGTTCTTTCCAACGTCCTAGTCGTCTATCCTGGGAGCTAATTATGGTGCCATTTTTCTCAGAGATTGTTTCACTTATCGTTTGCCTATTATCATGTGTTTCCCTGATAAGTCTAAATAGTTGTCTGGTGTTACCGATCGCCGATGCCTTTTCCATCTCTTTCACTTTTGTCGCCCACCACTGTTCACGGTCGTTGCGAAGACTTTTTGTTAGTCTTCGTTTAAGTACCTTTCGCTGCTCATCATAATCGGAGCTCGCTGGAATCAGTCTTGTTGCGTCAATCAATGGCTCTTACTAACTTTTGGTTTTAAGTTATTAACAGCTTTTACAGCTGTGTCTACAGCTGACTGTATGTTGTGCCAGGCTACCTCGGGAGGAGTACTGCTGTCAGCCTCAGATACTAGTTTCGCTATTTCTTCCTTGAATAGGGACTCGGTGTCTTGGTCTAGTTGGAGATGTAATTTCTGCCAACAGTTTTTTATGTCCGTTTAAATCGTCAGCATAAACATGCGCGAACCAGAGCGTGATCGGAGTTTACCCACATGTTCCAGGAGGAGCGGCAGTCTTCTACTGACCCTCGTCAACGATAGCCTATCGCTATGTGGTCTATCTGAGTCCAACGGTGATTCGCTGATGGAGGTCACCGGGTTACGCAGTGTCTCTTTGTGCCTAAATTTAGTGCTGATTATGAACAGATGATCATCTGAGCAGAACTGTAGAAGACGATCACCGTTGTTGGTTCGCCGGCAGGGAACTCTATACGTACTGCCTACATACTTCTCAGCGTTTTGCTTTTCGCAACAAATTGGACAGTGGTAGAAAACATCCTTTAGTTCATCTGAACTGCAATCTGTTGGGGCGTAAGAGGAGACTACGGAAAGACAACGATGGGTAACGCCGCCCTTCTTTCTTCTAAGGGCCCCTTTCAGCCGGACCGCACACATACGGCTGGCGTAAGAAGCTCACTGGAGCTCACCGGCAGACATATGGACAAAGGGCTTGTTGGATGTCCTGGATGTCTGGCCCCATTCAAAAAGGCGTATGAACCGAACTCCGGTCACCAGCTTCCAATGGATAGTGGACTCCCTACTCCAATCCTACTGCCTTGTAGGTCACACTTGGTTGTGTAAAGGCTAGAGCTGCACTCTCAAACAAAAGGCCGAGCGATTCTGGGGACATCACTCGTACCAAATTCCCATGAAACTTCATGAACTCTCTTACAAACGACTCTCACCAGGACTGGTCCAACAACGTCGCCTTCGGTGGTTTGGCCATGTTCTGCGCCGACCAGATGACGATCTGGTCAAATCAGTTCTAAATCCCTCGCCATTACCATCTTGGCGATGTCGCAGGGGTGGACAGCTGAAAAAATGGCTTGGTACAGTCAAGGCTGATATGGAGTGCCTGGGGCTACAAACCGTCTACGGACTCCGTTTGTGGAACAAGAATTGGATAACCCTGTCGCAAAACCTTGCATCAGATCGCCGCGCCTGGGCAGCGATGATTCGAGATGTTCATGAAGCCGGCTCATCCTCCCGTAGGAGATAGCCGAAGTAAAGTAAAGTAAGTATCTACAGGGATCCAGTCAAGATGTGATTTTTCTACCCTTACACTCAAAGCTTTCTCTAAACCTGCGAGTCCTTGCGAACTAGCTGAGGATCTTGTGACACTCTTAAAGTCAATTTTCCAGACTCACCTTGTTGGCCGGGTGAGATTAAGTGAATGACCACACTCCGGTCTTGTATGCGTGTCTCTGAAACACAACATCCATCCATAGCTCGAGATGTCAGAGTTCTTCTTAGTGATGCCTGTTGTCCGATTTGGCAGAGGGTCCTGACGTTGAAAGCTCCTATATGAAGTTGATGACGTGGCTTTAAGAGGCTGTTGGGGGTGTTTCTATGGCTTTCGTTGTGGTCACAGAGTGAAGTGAAGATGACTCACTAGCCTGAAGAATAATACTAACTGTAGTGGACGTGGGGAAGATGATGACGGTGATGTCGGTAAAGGAGAATGATGCTCAGGAAGGCTTCCTGGCTTCCATACCGTAAAAGTTGATTGAATCTTCGGGTATCCGAAACAGATAGAGAGTTATTGTTGCGTGAACGCAGAGCCCATGGGACAAATGGTTGAGGCCGGTCACACACGGCCTGTATGAACTGGTTTCTTGGTTTGGTTCCGTATTAGTAAACTTACCGCCGGTTACCAACCATTGTAGAGTAGGTCAGGATGTACAATTGCTGAGGTCGACCTTTTCTAACCCCCTCTCTCCAGAGTGGAGAGACAGCATAGCTGGGCTACATTGACTCCTAGTTTAGAAATAGGGAGTGAAGTGGTAGGGCGTGTTGACAGCTTCACTTAATTGGGAAGTTGCATCAACCAGTGTCAGCAGAAGACATCTCAGGACGGATACAGAAGGCTCGTTTCGCATATGCCAGTTTACGCCGTCTCTGGCGTAGGCGTGATATCCGGCCGACTGTCAACCAAAAGACGTGTGTATTGCTCAGCAGTCCTCTCCGTCCTCCTTCGTGCCTGTGAGACGTGGCCATTGAGACTGGAAGACATGAAAAGCCTGGCTAACTGTCTTTCACCATAGGTGCCTGTGTTCTCTACCCTGTGTTAAGCAGCATAATAGGGTGAGCAATATTGAGGTGAGGCATCAGTCGAGTGCTAGGTAAGGAGGGGAGATAAATCGGCGAGGTTGTGGAGTTACACCGATTGAGGTGGTTAGGACATGTGTTGTGCATGGCTAGCCATCGATCACTGTCCTAGACGGGCAATGTTAGCTGACATAGGATCAGGTTAGAAAAGAGCTAGTGGCGGTGGTGGTCAAACCAAAAACATGGCCTCATCAGTCAGTGATATCCACAACAGTTAGATTGAGCCTGCCACATCGGGATATAAGTATAAAACTTGGGCACTCTGATAGAGTATTACTCCATCATAGGTAAGATTTTATTTGGATTAATCACCGTGTTACACAGTAATATTAACTGATGACAGTTAATATGCAGTGTGGCAATTCGAACTGCTGCACATCAGTGCAAAGTTCTACTTTGAAAGCAGTCCTTCAGACAGTGCTCAGTGTCATTTCTCAGATTGTTATTATTATCAGGTTAATAGTAGGTGTTTTCTTTTGGATAGTGTTACTGTTTTGCATTTTTTGTATTGATTTCTTGTTTTTGTGCGTGTCTTATGATTCTGTACTTTAATGGCAGTTTGCTCTGTGCATCAACCTAAAGCTAGGATTGTATCTAATGATGTCGGATGCTCAACCTGAAACTGAGTCACACTCAAACGTTTAGCTAACCGGGTTACTGTAATGGTCTTCACAGGATAGTTGCCACCTGTATCGTACAATTAATTGCACTCGACCAATAAGAATAAAACTTGTGCACTGTGGTAGAGTGTAATTCCATTATGTATTTATTTACTGTATAACACTGTGAGACTTTATTAAAATAAATTTTACGCATAATGAAATTCACTCGACCTACTTGACGAATTAATTGTAGATGCCTAATACTTAAAGTTTGTATTCTTTGAATTATTTATCTTAATATATACTCAAGAGTGATTCATCTTTATTCACCTTTTCAGATAATTTATGATGCGCCACTCTAAAAACTGTACTGCTCATACTGTTTATACATATTACGAGAGGAAAAATGATGCTCGCAGATCAGGCTTTGGTACACAGGAAATCCGTTTGGGAAAGGATTCAGTGAAAGCTCTTGATTGTTGCTGTCTTTCTCTGCAGCCAGCAAAAGATCCTGTGGTTACAACTGATGGATTCCTTTATGACCGAGCAGTTATCTTGGAATATATTGTTAGTCAGAAAGCTGAGACACAACGAAAAATTAAACTGTATGAAAAACAGAAAGCTCGTCTAGACGCTGAGGCTAAATTGTTCATCAAGGCCGAAAAAGAAGAAGTAGCCCGACGCTTTTTATCACTGAATACTTTAGACACTCATTCACAAGCGTCTGCACAAGCAGCTGAAGCAGAGGCTCTCGCCTCCCTATCCCATAAACGCAGTGGTGTGGCTGAAAAGAGTTCCTGTTTTTGGGCTCCCTCTGGCACATCAGATCAGAAGTTTGACAAGGAACTTATGAGTGAACCCGACAAAATTGTACGCTGCCCGATGAGCGGCAAACCTCTGAAGTACAAAGATCTAGTCGGTGTAAAGTTCACCAACTTTGAAGATGATTCTGAAGTCATGGGGTTCAGTCAGGCTAAACCAACGAACCGCGAAGTTAAATATTGTTGTGCAGTTTCCAAAGATCCACTTACAAACGCAACTGTTCGTGTTGTTCTTAAGACTTCTGGTGCGGTTGTCACTAAAGAAGTCGTGGATACTGTGATAAAAAAAGAGATGATTGACCCGATTAGTGGGAAAAAAATGAAGACGGATGACTTCATCGAACTGCAAAGGGGGTCCCTTGGTTTTGCTGATGAGAGAACATTATTAACTGCTAAACGTGTCAGGCCTTCTATGCAAACTTGAGACTTTCATTTCCCTGCACATTATTTAAGCTCACTTGTTTGTACAAATAAATTGGAATATTCCCCGCATGCCTTCACCTTCTCAGGTTTAATTAATTATGCTACTTAAGCTTTCACTTTTTATTCACCATAGTGCTCCACAATATTACAATTCATTTGGAACTTGAAGCTTCCAGTATACCACGTTAACTCTGAACAAATCAAAGTTCTGACGACTCCACAAGAGTTTTTTCACGGTTTACTGGTATGTACTTTTGTATCACTTCACATTATTGAACCTCTCGTTTATTCAGAGTGCAGTTCGCACTTATTCTTTTGTGGATTTATTTGTAGCACATGTTGTGTACTTAATTAATTTGTGTCTTTGCGCTTTTAAAGAATTTCAGCGTTGATTAAAACGAAATATGTTGGTATTAGATGGTTGTAGGTAATCTGCAAGTAGCCTTGGACCTAGGTTTCGTGCTAGCTGGCACTCACAAGTAAACAAGGTGTATCTTCAACCTTGAAGGAACTCATGTCCCTTCTGAGATTCGAACCCGCGTCACCCATCGCTGCAGTCAGAGACGGTACCACTAAGCTATTTGGGCTGGCGATTGGCCTACTGTAGGACTGTACTAGATACTAATGTGTCTAGTCCTATCTTCAGTTGCAAATACGCCTTGCTGAAGAGTGCCAACTAGCACGAAACCTAGGTCCAGGGCTTCCTGCTGATTATCTGACTAGTGTCCAATCAAAAATAAACGAAAGCTGTATTGCGTTTGTTCCTCTATCTGTCGGATGATTTGACCGTGGTCATACTAGAAATATCTTGGAGTTTCTTCATGTCAAAATTGTTTTTCATTCTTTCTTGTTGAGTGAACTTACTCTGAAGGGCATAAGATACCTTGTTTCTCAAATTTCATAACTAGATCTGCTTTTGTACAACTTTAACCGAAGTTTCAAAGAGCGTTTTAAATCTTGAATGAGACAGCAGCAGTACTTAGTGGCTCCAGTTTATAAAACGGAAAAGCGAAAGTCTGGTTTGCTCAGATGATACACTCTTTTTTGGTAAAGATGTTGACAATATACAGTCATCCGAAAAACGCAGGTAAAAATCTGGGCACGTCTTTCATGATTCTACAAGACTAGTCTGCCTTGAGTCTTGTTTTAATACCAGCATATGTGGTATTTAGGTGTGATGACCACTGCGTTTATTTAAGGAGTTGCACAGTCCCGATGGATTGACGAGATATTACAACAGAAATAGCATACATGTTTGGCATTTAGCAACTTCCTGTTTTCTTCTGGCTTCTATAAAGTTTCACTTTCGACTTTATTCAATTATCCTCTTCGTTATCTGTTATAATGTCACTGCAATTTTTTCTTTTATTCTGTGTGCTTTTCTGATATGCAGCAGCTTAAACTAGTGCACTTTTGTGCAAAGTTCCACATCAATTCCCTTATTATTCAAAAGCTAGCAAAATTTTTAACTAGTTTACGTGGCTATTATATACGTTTCTTAACATTTGTATGAATCTGTGAAGGAATGTCAAGGTTGCACTATAAATAACTACTTGCTCTCTGACTGTCTACTTGAAATGTCTATCCTTCTTCAAATATGAGAGCAACTAGAATGATAGCTTGCTAACACCATATTTTCATTGTGAGAGTAATCGCGATAGTTATTGTTTTCATCAGTCAAAGCTGAAGATTTCGTAATGTTAGACGCATTTCGATAAAAATCGTGCATTTCTTGCGTCTTTTGATTAGAAGGGATTTGAGGAAGATGGTCGCAATTAACCAGTGAAAAGAAGCACCACAATGTTGACGATATCATACAAGACTTTTGTGTTGACTTGTTTCCAGATCTGCGAGAATCACATTCGGTAAATGTAGAATATAAAACAGAAACTGGCTTGGTCGGAATGTATGCTTTCTTGAAATTCAAACATCGAGTTCCAACGTCTAACGATAGGAAATAGTGACTAGTGCAGATGTACCTGTCATATTTCTGTAACCACTATAATGAATTACAGACGTGTATTCATCTTCGAGTCTCCGTTTTCTACCTCTCTATCATCCGTTTGCATTAAAGTCATCTTAATTCACACTAACATTTCATCCACGTTGATATTGGACTGTAAATTCAGTGTTGTGCTTGAATGGGACTTTAATATTCTTTCATTCGTAACAGCTGAATTTCTGTGACTTAACGACTTATGATCACTCTTTGATATAGGTTCAGCAGCTAAATTTCATTCTTTGAAAACATACTAGACGCAAATGAGTTTTTGTCTTAACTGCCTCATGATGATGTAAAGGAATAACTTGTCACCTCTAACCAATCAGCCAAATTCCTACAATCCAATACTTTAATATCAATGAGATGCTCACTAGCGACTTGCCCTATTCAGGTAGGTAGTTACCTGGGGTTCCAGTGGGAAGTCGTGACCAGTAGGGTGCAGCAGGTCGGGTGTGAGAACAAATACTCGCCGAAGACATTGGCTAGCGGTTGCACTATATCGTGAATTGGCAGAAGTTAGAATTCATGGGCCATTGGATCGGGTCCCAGTGGTTAATGGTATCCGAGCTCGTCATGTAACCAGAAGGTCCTGCGTTCGAACCCCGGTACTGATGAAGAGTCCCAAACTACGACGAAACAGCTGTCCAGTACTCCCAGGTTTTCTAATGGTTCTCTAACCAATATCAGCTGATGATGAAATCCTTTAACCAACCAACCAAATCCCTACAAACCAATACTTGAATAACTTTTTTGTTTAACATAATTTCTCAAAGCAATGCGAGAATTGCTGGGCAGGATATTTGCTAAACCAGTTGAAGGAAATTTTGGCAAAGAAGTATGTTGTTTATTGCACTCAGATTTGAGTAGATGTTCTAGGCACTTGCATTCTTTGTTACGACGGTAAGCATAGATGTCATCCAGTGTCCTCACATTAATGAAGCGTGTAAGCCTTTGGCGCAGTCGACTGGATATATCACAAACAAACTCACCACCACTTGGCTTGCTGACTAAATTTATGTGTGTAATCATACCGTTTGTGTACATAAGTTGTAGGAAACATCAATAATTTTCACATGGCAACGCATACAGCCTCTAGGATTATCAGGTAAGAACAACATATAATTCAATTCCTGGTAGACTCATTGCACCATCTTAGGACAGTAGCAACTATTTGTCATAGCGAGGAAGTGATGAATAAGTTAGAGGCTATCTGAGCGATACTAGTCGATAACGAGATATTGAACTGCTAATGAATTCATATATATATTATATGTTTGTTTTTTAATACTCAAATGGTAAGTAGTTGAACTGTAACCTTGTGTAAAATCACTTATGTCGATAATCATAGAATGATTCATTATCCGTTCCCTTGGAATGAATTCATGTAACATTTGGCAGATCACGTACGTGTTCCTAGTTAATTGCAAAGTCAATTGTGGGACATTAGCTTCCTTTATATTATTTAACTTCACCAAAGCTGATAGAAGAGTTAAGGGAAAATGTCTCATAGATGATTTACTCTAGCTGTAAATTTGACACAGTGTATTGTTTCCCTCGCGTACAAACAGTTGAGAATAACTTATTATTAAATTGTCAAGTGGTAAAACGGCAATTGAATTAGTAATTAGATAAGTCGTAATGGGAAGCTAAAATTTAAGATATGGGCAAATAAAATATGTAAATATGGGATAATGAGGTACTTATGATTTATGGGAAGGTGAGGATTGGCTAGTTTTGTGCTGATTATGTTTTGTCTGCTGAGTTCCGTATCTTTAGTTTACTGCAGTTGGTTTACACGCGTAATTATCTTCTGTTTCAACTTATCACGCCATTTTATTTTGCTAAGTTGGCCATCTTTGCAATTACATCCAAGTTTCATTAGTGAATTCCATATTAGTTTGTTTATTAGGTATATCACGCAGTGAATCAGTATTATTTACTGGATGACGTTTCGAACAAAATTTATTTTTCATAATCATATCAATTGTGATCACACAACTTTGACACTTGAGTTTTATAGCTTTCTTTGTTTTCTCCAATTTGTCGTAGGGGGAGTAGAATTTTCCAAATATCGGGGACAGGTGATGAATCATTCCTATTACACGTAGTTGCAGTTGATTCGATAAACAAAGCTTCTGTTATCAATCTCTCCCTATACCCTGTGACATTAGATTTTAAAACTGTCATCCTATCCCATCCTATTGTATGGTTGTGTGTGACTGCATGTAGTGCCATAGCTGAACTATTCTCTAGGTTTCTTATCTTATTCGGGTCAACCAATCTAGATTTTGCTAAGTTTTTATGTTCAGCTAGTCTGACTGCCCATGTTCTACTAGTTTGACCTATGTATTTGACCTGACAATCATTGCAAGCAGGGTATTAGATAAACTCAATTGTTTTGTTTCAAAGGCTCTATAGGATCCTTTAGCCGACAAAGCTTGTTTCTAATTGAGTTTGTGGGTTTGAATGCCGTTTTTATTCCTGCCTTGTTGAGAATTCTGCGTAAAGCTTCTGAGGTTCCTTCCTTGTATGGAATTACTACTGATGATTTAGATTCCCTATTGTTGGTGTCGTCATTAATATTATTATTATCACTATTATCATTATTATTGTTGTTATCACTATCATTATTATTTATTTTATTTTTACATTTCCTTACATATTTCCTGACTATGACTTATGGTCTTTCATTAGTGAACTTAGTCAAAATGATATCTTAGTGAAAGCAGCTCAGTCGTTCCACTTAAAGTTCCTATTTTCCGGGGTTATTTATCACTGACATTGTTGCATTAAAGCCATCACATCTGTTTATGAAATCTAAATTATCCGATTACATTGCACGAAGTCTTCTGACAGTTTCACGAAAGGGCTCCCCAATGAATATGAAGATCAAGGAGAAACATAAGACTCTTTAGTGATACACTGGCAACTGGGTCAGAACAAGTTGCAGGCAAGAGAAACCCCGGAATATTATTATATCATATAATCGGGTCCCTATACGGAAAGAGAT